TAAAAAATACGCTTGTATAAATATTTATTTTTGTTTTATGAAATTACCTACATTTTACGCTTATTTTAAGATTTATAACTAAAGTGTCTATCGAGATACTTATGTTAGCAAATTTAATTATCCATGAATCTAACTACACTGATCTAATATAAACCAACAAAGCCAAGTTCTCAAGCTTTGATTATGTTATTCTTTTAGTTAAAATGAACTTACGCTTCTTGAATCGACCGCGTCCTAGCTTGTTCGCTGAGTAAATGAATCGCATCATTCATTCACAATCATTTCGCAACATGTTAGGACGCGTTATCATTCAAGCTGTCCGTTACTTGACTCATTTTATCGCGGAGTTCGGCTATGGACGGTAGGGTGAGTGTTTATCTCATCATTAGTATCATTTTCAGTAATTATAGCTAGCAAGAAATAATTTTTTTCATTCGCCATCGTCCTCCTTAATCAATAAACCTTAATAGTGAGGTTATTAGGTAGAAAAATAGGTAATTAGAATGATCGATAGTATTTCCTAAATTCCTGTATGTTGGGGAATGCTACTAGTGACCTTCTTTCTAAACCTATTCCTCGTTTCCTTTTTATCTTGTTTTTCTTTTTATTTCTATTCATTTTATTATTCTCGTCGTTTTCGACTTTGTTAGTAGTTGAATTTGCAGATTTATGAATCTTATGTGTGTCCGATCTCACTTATTTCTTGTTATTCGTTCAGATGTTTACTGTTTCAAATAGTTCGATAATTTTCAGTTTATATTTATACTTTATGAAGTCATTTTTAGTATGCATTTCATAAGACATATATGTAAAATATCACAATTATTGTCAGAACTGAACAATCCTACTCTGGTATACCTGAGTCTATCAAGTCCCAGGTTGTTTAGAAATGGGTCGTTCCTGTTGCGCAAAAAAAGGCGAAGAGGAGCTCGAGACGATGAGAGCCGGAAGAACTCCCCTAATAATTAGGGATCATAACAAAAAGGTAAAGCTGACATGCAATCAACAACCATAGGTCCATAGAACAACTTCTTAAGTACAGATATCGTTTTAGAAAGAAATCATGGACTTTTCCGTTATATTATCATCAAATAATATAGGTTGGAAAGAAAGTCCTGTCAGTGTTTTTTATAGCCTACAGTTTTTGATCTTCGAAGCTCGAACATGACGTAACATGCTAAGGTTGTAGAACATTCTCGAAGCTTTTCCACAAGAGGTATATCAAGGCTCCTGCTCTTCCCTGTGTTTATTTACGATGTCAGTTTCACTGGAGCAGCTTCGAGTGATCATCTTCTATGAGTGGCGCCGCGGCACTGGAGCGACGGCAGCTGTCCGTAACATCAATAGTGCATTGGGGGAGGACACCACCACCGTCAGGACTGTCCACCGTTGGTTCGCTCGCTTCGCGAAAGGAGAGACGATCTTCGAAGGCAAACCTCGGTCTGGGACGCCCTCACGGCGTGGAGGACTCCGCCGTTCTCGAATCTGTCAGAGAGGATCCGGAGGCTACCACCGCAGTATTGCGACAAGGCTAGGGTGTAGCCATACAACAGCTCTAAGCCGCCTTCAGGCCCTTGGCTACAGAAAAGTCCTCACGCGATGGATACCTCATGCTCTAACAGATGGCACGCGGTATGCCAGGGTGAGCATCTGATCCCTCCTTCTACACCGTAACCGGAAGGAGTTTCTGGAAGATATTGTGACTGGAGATGAAAGCTGGGTCCTCTATGATTCCAACCTACGCCGTGCCATGTGGCTACCTCGAGGAGAAGACCCGCCCACGCAAGCCAAATCGGACCTGCACCCCAAGAAGGTCCTCCTCTGCTGCTTTGGGATTCGAAGGGCATGCTGCACCACGAGCTGCTCCCGCAAGGGCATACGGTCACCGCGTTTACCGCCCAACTCCAGAAACTCGCGCAAGCTCTTCGAGAAAAGCGGCCGAGACGAGCTTCGGTGCACCTCCTCCATGATAACGCCAGAGCCACATGTGGCTAAAGAGACCCACCGCAAATTGAGGAGCTAGGCTGGGAGACCATACCCCATCCACCATATTCTCCAGACCTAGCCCCCTCCGACTATTACCTGTTCCGCTCCCTCAAGGCTTTCTTAGGTAAGAAAACCTTCAGCGAATTTGATGGCATCAATCGAGAAGTTGCCTACTTCTTCGACTCGCAGCCTCCCCAGTTCTGGGAGAAGGGGATAGCTGACTTGCCCATTAGGTGGAGCACTGTAGTGGCTAACAATGGCGATTATATTATTGATTAATTTTTATTTCATGTTGAGTTAGAAAATAAAAAAAATCACAACAGTGACAGGACTTTCCTTCCAACCTATACAATAAAGAACTGATCAATTGTGTGGTATACCTGAGTATCAAGTCCCAGGTTCTTAAGAAATGGGTCGAAATGATGGTGTACTTCTAAAACCAATAAACATTTGTTAAAATGAATCGAAAACTGACTTTTAACGTGTGGTGGGAGTGTGTCGATCATGGCGTCCACCTGTCCGACGTTCGGAAATCTATTTCAAAAATTGAATTAGAACAAGGTTGATGGTTGGGTTATCAATTATCAGTGACTATTGCCAAGTTATCGTTTATTCGATGACATAAAGCGAAGCGACGTCAGTCAATATGATCAAAATAGTTAGGATGTCATAACGAGTGAAAGTTCGCCAGGATCATTGAAAAATTGATCAATACATTAGCAAAAGTTATGGGAAGCGGCTTAAGTCATAGTGGTATTTATCCTTTTCAGCCGTGCACGATCTACCTTCCGCCGCCTACAGAAACGATCAAAACCGCAAGCTGACCACGCCCAGACCTTCACGAGGCGCACTGGGTAGGGTCACTACGGGATTACAGTCGTCATCCGGGCACTGATTAGTCGGCTAAGGATCGCGACGCGG